CCTGAGGCCGTGGGCGCGCGGGCGCCGGCGGGAACCGCAGCAGCAGAAGGCATAGCCGCCTCCTCGTCGTTCAGGGTGTCCCCGCGCTCTCCGCCCTGACCTGGGGCGCGGCGGCGGCGCGGCGACCTCGGCGTCGATCAGCACCAGGAGAGTGAACAGTGACCGAGGGGCGGGGCGCAGCGAGGCCTGCCCAGCCCGCCCTCTGTGCCCGCCCTCCGCACCGCCCTGCTTCCTGCATCACTGTGTTAGGTTGCGCCGCGCGGGGCGGGCTCCTTCGAGGCGGGAGGAAAGCCCCGGCGGCCCAAAGGAGAGGAACAGCTCCTGGGGCTGCCAAATGCTGAGCCTCGAGAACGGCCGTGCCCTGCGGCCCTGCCCAGCCCGCTACCATGCCAGCTCAGGGCAGGATTTATGTCTGGGCCAACCTGGCTTTATTAACCAGCCAGACCTGCTCGGTGCGACAGCTCACAGGGACCCAGGTAGTTTGAGGGCTCGTGTGACCTCAGGGACTTTTCCTGATGGGCGGGGAGATGCTCAACTGGGAAACTGCAAGACGCTGTCACCAGCCCTCTACCTCCAACATCTTTCATTGTTTCCACATTGTGTTCTCAGGATGTACTTGAGCAGCACTACTGGAGGGGAGCAATGCTGAAGGATGTTTTGTTTATTTAAAAATATGAAAATCAGATTTCCACAAACATAGCTTGAAATCTGAACCCAGCTAATAATGGGGACCTGCCAGGTATCTCTCTACAGTCTGTATTGAACAGGCGTTCAGATTATTTGATCATGTAAAAGCTAGGGGAGTTGTGAGTTTTAACTGAGACAATGTATTTGAAAATACCCAAGCTAGTGGAGCCTACCAACAAAGAGGGGAAGAATACATAATTGGGTAGGAAAAGAGCAGCTTCTGCTATGGTGTTTTTTTATTTCCAGAGCTGGCATTTAGGAGTTCACTACTTGCAGGTCCAAAACAAAGAGTAGTAGGTGGGATTAGAAGGTAAAAATAGAAAAAAAAAGAGAAAAAAAAGTGAAAGAAAAAAATCAGTCCAATGTTTCTTCCCGTTCCGTGGAAGGAAGAAGTTGTAAACTTGTTGAGGGTGTGTATTTTAGTAACTTTGAGGCTTAAAGAAATGGCCTCTTATTCCTAAAGACTATGTCTGGATTGTACCACTGTGGGCTGGAGGTTCTTCCACCTGTGAGATATTTAGACCCACATAGCTGTAGCTGCTTTTAAGATGCTCTTGAAGCAATATAAGGTTTCTTTTTTTGCTGTAGGCCTCGGAGAGCTGGGCAGGCTTTCTATAAGAAACTTTCACTTGTAATGAAAACAGCCACTAAAGGTATCAACAAATCTTCTAAAGGTTAGTTATTGTAATAATTATTAAAAATCAACATGCATAGTAATCTGATATACTAACTAAACAATTGTATATTATTTCAAAATTTGATGAATACTTTTATATGCATGACTTCCTATGGCCTTCACAAAGATTTTGAGGTGGACAAAGTCCCTCACTGGGAAAGTAGAAGAGAAGTCAGTAATGAATGGGACCTAGCTTACATGTTCCATGGGGAAGGGAGCAAAGGGGTACGGGAGGGACAGCATTTCTCAGGGGCAAACATACATTTCCAAACCTTCCAGTACAGCCCAAGATTTCCCCACCTCTGTGGCTTTACAGTCGGGCCTTTTTGAGGTAAATGGAAATGATTTACTGTGTTTACCATTAACAGCGCTTATTTCTGGGGTGTGAGATGGGGTAGTAAAGGGGAATGTTCTTTTTTTTTTTTTTTTGTACTTTATAAAAACTGTATATCCATGAGTCTTATAATTAATTAAAAAAAGGGCTCTGATTTCTTTTCCACAGCTGGAAAGACTAGAAGAAGATGGGGGGTGACTCAAGGCCAGGGGCTTGGAATTACATGGAGACTCCTTTACTAGCATGTCGGACGTCTAGGTTGGGATGATTTGATGGCTAGGCCTGCTGACTTTTCTAGCAATATATGTGACATTTCCTTGTGGCTTGGCTTCCTCACAGCATTGACCTCAAAGTGGTCAGGTGTTTTACATGGTAACTCAGGGCTCTAAGCATGAGTCTTTCAGCTAACAAGGTGGAACCTTCATTGCCTTTTATGACCCAATCTCGGAAGTCACAGTGTCACTTTTACTGTACTCTGTTGGTTGAAGAAATCACAAGCCCATCCAGTGTCAAGGGGAGAAGACAGAGACTCCACCTCTTGCTGGGGCAACACCGAAACCCATTGCCTGTCGAGTTGATTCTGACTCATAGTGACCCTATAGGACAGAGTAGAACTGCCCCCTAAGGTTTCCAAGGAGCAGCTGGTGGATTTGAACTGCCAGCCTTTTGGATAGCAGCCAAACGCTTAACCACTGTGCCATCAGGGCTCCACTCTTGATGGGAAAGGTATCAAAGAATTTTCAGCCACTTTTAAAAACCATGATACATTGTAGAGACTCTAGATTCTGTTATCTTCCTCTGAAGTGCGTTGATTTTTGTCAGAGTAGACATTTCAATTACTAATTGACCAGCTTGAACTCTAGAAGGCTTGGTTTTATGCTCTGTTAGGTAGATCTGTGGAAAATTCCAAGTTCGGTTCCTAAGCCCTTCTAAATTGGCAGGACTCAAACATGCCTCTCCTGCTGTTCTTGACAGAGACTGATTTTAAACTTTGTTTGGATTGGTCCAGAGTAGCTTGTTCTAGGATGTGATCCTTATTCCTCAGATGTGGTCTTAGTATACCCAGAGTGTTCATAAAATAATAATAAGATCTCTCCTCTCTGGCTCCTCTCTGTCCCTAAGCACTTCCCTTCTATATCTCTCTTTCATTCGCAACCCCGTGGCAGCTCCTCTTGGGAGCTTCAGGTGGTCTCATCCTGTACATGAACCACTTGGCCAAGGGCTCAAGGGAAACCCCTCTACAGACTTCTGTCCTCCCCCCTTAACACATCAACATCCTGTTCAGTGACCTGCCTGCAGATTCCAGCCACTTTAGCTGTGTCCAACTTAGCAGGAAGCTTCTTTGCTTAGCAGGGCCACTAGGCTCTGCTTGGACTCCAGCTCACTGTACCATGAGGAATTGTCCCCAGGCAGAGAGCCTAGACAACCATAGGGCCCACACTGGGAGTTTATATTCTCTCAGGGATTACAGTCTTGCATTGCCTGTTGTCCACTGCCTGAAAATAGTTACTATTCTGTCCCATTTTATGGTGGTTTATGATAGGAAGGTGTCTTAGTCATCTAGTGCTGCTATAACAGAAATACCACAGGTGGACGGCTTTAACAAAGAGAAATTTATTCTCTCACAGTCTAGTAGGTTACAAGTCCAAATTCAGGGTGTCAGCTCCAGGAGAAGGCTTTCTTTCTCTGTTGGCTCTGGAGGAAGATACCTGTGATACATCAGTCTTCCCTTGGTCTGGGAGAATCTCTGCACAGGAACCTCAGGTCCAAAGGACGCTCTCTGTTCCTGGCACTGTTTTCTTGGTGGTATGAGGTTCCCATGTGTCTCTGCTCACTTCTCTCTTTTATATCTCAAAAGAAATCAGTTTAAGACACTATCCAATCTTGTATACCTCATCAGTATAACTGCCGCTAATCCATTTTATTAGATCATAGTGATTGAGTTTACAACACATAAGGAAATCACATCAGATTACAAAATGGTACACAATTATCCAATACTGGGAATCATGACCCAGCCAAGTTGACAGATATTTCTGGGGGACACAATTCAATCCATGACAGAGGGCTAGTCTGAAGACATAGTCACAAACAGAAGTCTGTAATTTTTTTTTAATCTGACAAAATTTTCAGGATGATAAGAATTTACAACCAAATCCTAACTGAGAATGGAGGAGGAGTTGATAAAAAGAAAACAAAAATTCCATGTCTCATTTACTTTAGAAAAGTGTTTGGTGTGTTTTTTTAAAAGTAAAACCTAACCAGTTGCCTTCAAGTCAACTCTGACTGATGGTGACCCCCTGCGTGTCAGAGTAGATCTGTGCTCCACAGAGTTTTCAGTGGTTGCTTTTTGGAAGTAAATCGCCAGGCTTTTCTTCCAAGGTATCTTTGGGTGGACTTGAATCTCCAAACTTTCAGTTAGCAGCTGAGCTTGTTAACCATTTGCACCACCTGGGGGCTCCAAAGTAAAAACCAGTGACATGAAAAAAATAATTCATTCTAAGTTTTTATTGCATGCAGTGTTAAAGTGTTTATTAGAAAAGAAACTATTTGCTTTGCATGCACATGATTTATGCAGTCAGTTCTATACCTCCTGTTTTAAAAATACTAATTTGTTCCAACGCGAATGCTATATTAGGGAACAATTTGAGCATATTGTGAATTTCAGGCTGCCTTATGAGAGATTTAGTCTGCAAGAGATGGTAGGTGAATGCAGAAAACTGCACCCAGCTGAACCAAGCTGTATAGGAACCTACAAAACGGTTTCTCTCTCTCTCTTTCTCTCACTCCCACACACATGCATACACCTCAGCCACCTCCTAGCTAGCTGAGCTCACCGTGTGTTGTGAGCCACATCTTTCCACCTCTGGTGTTAGGACTTTCCATCTGACCTCAGATAACCCTCCTTCCACCACTGCACAATGACCCATTACCTGCAACTCCCCCAACTGCCCTAGCCCTGTGCTCTGCCCTCTTGGTAGTTTTTCCATTTCCTCTTAG